ACTACTACTACTACTACTACTACTACTACTACTACTACTACTACTACTACTACACTTTTCCTCTTTGTTATCGTGTCCACTGTTATTGCTCACCTGCAGCTGGCCTTCCATCTTGGTCTCCATGGCTACCCGTAGAGCGTCAATGGCCGCCGTCGTTGTGTGGCCGAAGTCTCGCAATCTGTCCACACTCTCTCTCTCCTTCTCCTTTTTGGAACCACATTAGACATTGTTTTGCATGCTTTAATAACATTCTGGGTCAGTTTCTCAACCTGGTAAATATCTTTCTAGGAAATAAAGAGAAATCTATCTTCAAAGTTTAGCGGATCTTTCAAAACTACATTTGTAAAAAAATGCGACTCTTTTCAATTTAAGGTCCATCTCAAACAGGATCTAGCCAAGTGGAAGTGCGGCCATTTTGCCTCGTGACTGCAGATCTTGCGGAGGTTCTTCTCAAACTTTGCCTTTTTTCTTTGAATGATCATAATCATAAATATTTTCATCATTATCAATTTTGCCCTCTTCAATATTATTATTATTATTATAATGGTCATCACAATATTTTTTTGTCATCATCATCATCATTATCAATTTTGCCATCTTGAATATTATTATTATCATTATGATCTTCACTATCATTGTTATCGTCATCATCATCATCATTATGGCTCACCTTGAGCTTCACCTCCCACGTCGCCTGGAGAGCCTGTATGGTAGAGTAAGTGTTCCGGGCAATGTCTCGTCTCTGTTGGTGAAGTTGCTGGACACCCTCTCTCTTGTTCTCCTCCACTGAGCGCCTCACCACCTGGACAGTTACGTCACTTTTACACTTTTTTTTTACAACGGTCAACTTTTCTGCCACGTACATGCCATTGCCCCTACACACAGAGTTACTGATGTCATGACTATCTTAACAAATGGCAATTTTATTTCATTTGCCATGTGCCCATTTTTCTGATATTTGTCCTGTGCCAATTTTTTGATGATTCCGTGTTTCAATTTAAATTATATTTAATTTTTTCTTGTTCCAATTTTTATGGTATATGCCATGTGCCAATTTCAATGATATTTGCTATGTGCCAATTTTTATGATATATACCATATGCCAATTTCAATGATATTTGTCCAGTGTCAATTTCAATGATATTTACCACGTGGCCAAATAAACTGTCGAAGTCATAGAGAGGCTGGGATGACATGGAACATAGAAAAGAAATATGTACAGAGATTTTGAGGCCAAGCACAAGGTTTGAGATGACATCAGGTCACACTGTTCATTTTTTTCTTCTGCTCCTCTTTCTGCCTACCATAAGTGCAAAACTCATCAGAGACGTACAGAATGGAGCCTGCTCAAACGGCCACCTGTCTAAAACAATCAGCTGTTCCCACTCCCCACTCCCCACCCCTTGCGGTTTTCTATATAATACTATAATGCCACAGTGGAAGACACCCACCTGCCTAAGACACCCACCAGCCTAAGACACCCACCAGCCTAAGACACCCACCTGCCTAAGACACCCACCTGCCTAAGATACCCACTTTTCGCCTGCCTCGTCAACAGTTGACTGTTTGAATAATTTCGACCGTAATAATTCAAACATTTTTAAGCACAGGGGCTATCCCGAAAAATGCTGTTTTGAGAAAATCGAAAGTAAAGTTTTTGGACCCATGTTCAGTTTCTTTAAAAGACAAGGAGAGTTTTCTCTATAACCAAACAAATATACACACCAGTGAAACCAAACTTCTCCTATAGGTAGGGCAATGCCCCCCTTTGGAGTAGGTCAAGGTTACTGGAAACCCCCGAAATCTGGGTTAGCCCGCTTGTCCTAGAAAAGCGACCAAATAAGAAATTTCTTTCCACTGGACAGACATGTGTTTCCCTCCTGTGCCGGGATAACTCTGTGTGGGCGGATCTTTGATACATCAGCAGCGAGAAAAACTGTGTCTAGAACTGGTGGAATCAGGCGCTTGTCGGTTTGGGGGAAATGGAGTCATTGGTATCATCTCAAAGCTTGTTGAGGGGGGGGGGGTGGTTCTTTTTTTTTGCCTTCCGTAAGAAAATAGCCATGTACATGTGTCTCCAATAGAAGTGGAGGTGGCGGTCACCTGGTGTTAGAGGTAAAATTTTGCGAGAAAATGGCGGCCAAAATTTGTTGATTTCCAAAGCCTGAGTGTCTTTGAAACTGAAAATTTATACTTTGTACTTTTGATAAATGTTTTTAAAAAAGCAAAACCCACACTGAAATCTGTCTTTAAATGGACATTAAAGTCGTTGAGACCAGAATAAAGAATTCAATTTGCTAAAATGTCCAAAGGGACGGGATAATGACGGTTTCTTCAATTTACTTATTTTGATGAGCGTCTGATTTTCCCAGGATGCCCCACACATCTGTACAGAGATTCTCACCTGTAGCTGTCTCTTTAACTGGCTCCCTAAGTCCGCTTCCACCGCCTCCACTGTGGCCGTTATGTTCTCCAGGAGATCTTGCTTCTGTGAGTGCATGTTCTCAAGCGCTTCTCTCTCCTTCTCCTCCACGATCTCCCCCAGAAGCTCAACAGTGAGAGCTCTTTTTTCCCTGATCAAGACGGGTGGGCTTTTCAGCCACATCACATTCTCTTGGACAGTGAAGCCCAGGAAGTCACAGCGAAACTGTCCGATCGTGTCGTTGGTCGCCACAGGCCACGTGACCCGCAGAAAACTCTCAGCGATCGAGCCGATTCTGCCCTCAGCCAAAAACTCATCTTTGGACCGCTGTCTGACTTCCGCGACACCCCCGCGGAATTCAGCCAGGCTGTTCCACTCGGCATGGTCGTATTTCAGTATTCTCAAAAGGATGACTTCGGAAACGTCCAGTGTGGGGTGGGGGTTGAAGCATTCCAGCGACACGTTGGCCGTTGCTCCAATCACTACCTCAGGCGTTGTCACGTTCAGCACACACGCCCTGGAGGACAGGACCAGCGATGTCAACACAGTCACAGAGAGAGACACCCACTTGGCGTCCATTCTGCGGGCACAGTGGGGGATTTGGCCGACAAATCTCTGTAAGTAGCTGTTCCGGGAAGTCTACAAGGAATAGATTAAAAATTGAAAAATCCAGTCAGGAAATGTGGAATGTGAAACTTTTCGACGTAAGCTTGATTAATATGTCACGACCAGGAAAAATCAGGTGCTCGTAAATTGTTTGGCCTATTGAGTTATTGGTAAACTCATGGGACTACAGACTGTTTCTTTGTCTTGCTCTTGAGGAAAACAAATCGTGCACAGAAGTCGAGATGTTGGCCCTGAACAGAAGTCGAGATGTTGGCCCTGAACAGAAGTCGAGATGTTGGCCCTGAACAGAAGTCGAGATGTTGGCCCTGAAAGGAGGGGTCAAATTAGCGGGAAAATGGCAGCCACGTTTTGGTGACTCCCAACGTTTCAGAGTTCTCGGAAACTACAAATTCGCATTTTTTGATGGACTTTGGTCAACATTTATCTGTAAATTCCACAGAGATGTATTTAAAAGGTGTTAAGGCAAAATACGTAAATAAATAAACAAATAAACAAATAAATAAATAAATAA